ATAATATCAATTGCTGTATCACTTTATTGGTAAATATATGAAAATTCACCTATGAATATCACCGAGGGAAATGATATCATTAGAGAATCATATCACCCTTGAAAGAATGAAAGAAAGAAAGTTTTGTTGAAAAATGTCAATATTGTTAAAAATAGCATTATTGGTAAAGTGTGAAACGTTACATTTGAGTGTCATTTCAACTTGACATGAATTCAATCAAACTTATTAGGTAATAAGTTTCTTTTGTAATTAAATATAAAAGAACTTTTTGTCTCATATATAGTAATTTTAAGTAATAGAAGATAAACATGCTAATAATTGACCAGAAGAACTTTCTCTCTCATATGTAGTTCTTTTAGGTATAAGATAAATCAACTAACAAATGAGAGAAAATATTTTCTCTCTCATATGTAGTGGTTTTAGGTATAAGAAGATAAACTTGCTAATAATTGAGCGAGAGAACTTTCTCTCGCATATGTAGTTCTTTTAAGTATAAAATAAGTCAACTAACAAGTGAAAGAATATATTTTCTCTCATATGTTGTGTTTTTAAGTATAAAGGTAAGCTGACTAACAATTGAGTGAGAGAACTTTCTCTCCCATATGTAGTGGTTTTAGGTATAAGAAGATAAACTTGCTAATAATTGAGTTGGAGAATTTTCTTTCTCATATGTAGTGCTTTTAGGCATTAGAAGATAAACTTGCAACAATTGAGCAAGGGGATGGGAGGGGGAGGGAGGATTTTCTCTCTCGTATGTAGTGATTTTAGGTATTAGACCATAAACTTGCTAACATTTGAGCGGGAATAATTCTCTCCGCCTCATTTCCTCCACCTGTGCCTGTAGGGCGGCGTAATTAGGGTCTGGCCCTAAGAAGGATGTCGTCGGGGGCATCTGACGTGCCTCATCCAGCTGGCGCCGAAGGGCTTCGATGATTTCGTCCTTGTGATCCCTCGGGGAGGCCCCTTGGGACTTCGCGTTGAATGATTGAGCGTGATTGATCTGATGTCTAGCGTCATCTGCGTGGAGTAGGCCCTTACCTTTGTCCCGAGGGGGAGGTCTCTCCTCGGCCCCAGAGACGGAGCCCCCACTTTCTTGTGGCCTGCTAGTAGCTTTCCCATCAAGGCGGTCTTGGACCCCTCGGCATTTAGGAGCTCCCCCAAACCTCTCGAGGGAAGAGGTCCGAGGTTTCTCCTTATTCATACATCGGTTGTCTCACGATTGGACCTCTTCGGAGGCGGTGTCTTGCGCCACCACACCCTCGGCATTGCCAACCCGTATGATGGGATTATATTGCTAAATGGAGGGGGCGGTGGAAAATGGATGAAGCTTCCTCCATACTGGGGTTGGAGGGGTGCTTGTGTAACAAAGACACCGGATTTTAGGGCCATATTCTGGACGAAGGCCGCGAAAGCGGCCTGAAGGTCGATGGTCGGAGCCGGATGGGGAACTTGGCTCTCATTCCGATCCTTCCTTCGGTTATCAAGGCCGATACGGGCATCGGGGGCAGCTTTCTGGATGTGCTGACGAAGGTCAGCAGCGGTCTGCTCCATTTTGGCGATAGTGCCACCCTCGAGAATCCGGTTGGAGGCCTCAGCCCCATTGGTTTCGCCGAGGGCTACGTGATTATCCTCAAGGGTTTTGGACTGACCACGAGTTTTTCCCATTTTGGTTGGGGTTTTGTGTTTGGTGAAGGGAATGGTATCTTACTTGATTGTTCGGACCTCTCAACGAGAGCACCAAATGATGGAGAGTGTACCCGGGGGGTAGCTTATCCGAGGGGTTATTCGAGGAATAACCTAGAGAGAAGTCAGAGCAAACAAGTGAGAGAGAGTAAGATGTATTAAATGATCTCAACGTGCTTTACAAGGAGAATAAGGGCTGCTATTTATAGCAGCCATAAATGCGATGAGAGTACACGTGTCAACAATCTAACAACCGAGGGGTCACCTCAATCGGGGTGACACCGGGATTCGCATGTGCACCGCATTAAATGCGGTGGGTGGATGTGACGCCACATTAAATGCGGTGGTTGTCTGTCCCCAAAGGGAATCTTCGATGAGTGCGCTGTAGCCGAAGGCTCTCCTGTGGTCGAAGGCTCTGTGCAGCCGAAGGCTACCCTTATGTCGAGGGCGCCTATGAGCCGAAGGTTCTTGATTTCTGTCGTTTTCTCCCAGTAGCTTTGTATGCTCAAATCTAGCTATTCTGTGGAATTTGGAGCCCTCGACCATCGAGCCGAAGGCACCCATATGTGCGTCGTGGGCTTCATAACACTTGGGCCGCTGTGTTTGGGTTTCATGTGATCATTGGGCTTGATGGGCCTGTGTGGGAGAAGTAGGAGTCTGTGGGCCGGGGGTTCCCGGGCCATATACTCCAACAAATAAGCCGACTACATTTGAACGGGAGAATTTTCACTCTCATATATATGTAGTGTTTTTTTAGATATAGCAAGATAAGTTTGCTAATAATTGAGCGGGAAAATTTTCTCTCATATGTAGTGCTATTAGGTATATTACAAGATAAATTTGCTTAACAATTGAGTGGGGAAATTCTCATATATGTAGTCCTTATAAGTACTCCGTATAAGATAAGTCGGCTAACAATTGAACAATATATTTGTTTTCTCATGCATAGTGTTTTTAGGTATAAGTTAATTTGGGTAACAACTGAGTGAGAGAATTTTCTCTTATGTGTAGTTTGTTTTTATATAAGATAAGCCGACTAAGAATTGAACAAAATAATTTTCTCATATGCTAGCACTAATTTAGCTAATGATTAGCAAGTTCTTTTTTTATCATATGATTAGCAAGTTCTTATTTAAGTAATACGTAGTATTCGTTAATTTTAATATTTATCGTATTCGCTTTTTTAGAATAGTATTGAATTTTAAAACTAATTTAATCATGAAAAGTAACAAGTAGCATATTCTAATAAGTGGTGTTAATTAATTTTTCTAATATACTCTTCATTGAATATTTATTGTATGAGCTCATGCCTAATACCACAAGGCTTATGGTATTAGCTTATTGTAATCTTATTTTTCGAAAATGTAGAATCCTACATAGTTATTTTTATTTTAATATGTAATTAGATAATGAGTAAAAATATATGCACCAACTTTTCTTTCCCGTGCATATGCACGGGTACTATACTAGTTAATTGAAGGTGTTGAATAAACTTTGTAAAATCCTTGATTAGCAGCAAACATTTCTAGCCAAATTAATAGTGGTATATTTAATTTCTTTTGTACAATACATTTGATCCTTTCATCTTTTAATTTGTATTGAATACATTCATCTAGTGAATTAAACCAGTCTTTTTTGTATTGTGGACTTTCTTCAAACATTCTTTTCAAATAATCATAATCAATTTTGAATTCTTTTTCTAAGGTTAAAACATTAATTTCTGGGGGCCACATTTGAGACGAAGTTGGGGACATAGGTGGTGACCCTACTGGTTCTGGAATTGGTGTTTTAAAATGAATTCTTACCGGGTCTTCATAAAACATTGAATTTGAAGATTCAGAACATGAATTTCTTCTAGGGGTAAAGGATCTAGAGTTAAAATAATTAGGCTCTTCTCTAAATGAATTGAATCTTAATAATATTGAACCATCAGGTTCCTCAATTATTTGTGAAACTTCTCTTCTTTCTAAATTTCTTGGAGGTTGTGGATTTGAAATTAAAAATTCGTTTTGAATAGTGATATCATTCCATTTTAATCTTTTTGGAACAAAAGTTGATGATTGTTCTGCTTCTATTTCGAGTAAAACTGTTTCTTCTTTTGAAGTTGGAAGCATATTGAATCTTGGATTTAATTGCGATGACCTTAATCTGAAATAAATTCTGTATATTATTGCAAAATTTTTACATAAAGTATGAAATACAGAATTTCATACTTTATGTAAAAATTTTACATAATCTTTTACAATTGTTTTAAGTTTGTTGACTCTTAACATTACAACTTTTGTGGAATCGCCCCAAACGGCGGAGGTCGGACGGAGGATCCTGTCCCTCCGGCTGGACATGATCTTTTCCGCATACATACATACATACAGGGTAGGTTTGGTGTTGGCTGGTGGGCAGGGGTGGGTCTATGGTGGACTGGTGGGGCAGGGGGTCTCTCAGGTGGACTGGTGTGGCAGGGGAGGGTCTGGGGTGGCAGGGGAGGGTCTGGGGTGGCAGGGGTAGGGGCAGGTCTGTGGTGGACTAGTGGGAGCAGGGGCAGGGGTGGGTTTGGGATGGACCGGTGGGGCTAGGCGGATGCAAGGGAGGGGTCTCGGTTGAGTCGGGATGTGAAGGGTGGCGGCGTGTGACCGAAGGTGGTAGCGGCGGTAACTACGAAGTATTAGACTGGGTCACCGTAACTCGTTGAGTCTGATAACTGGTCGTGTTGAGTCGGGTAATTTAATGTTTGAGTTAGATAACTGTAACTGGACAGGTCGGGTAACTGTAACTGGATGGGTCGGGTAACTGTAACGGGACTGGTCGGGTAACTGTAACTTGACAGGTCAGGTAATTGTAACTGGACGGGTCAAGTAACTGTAACTGGACAGGTCATGTAACTGTAACTGGACGGGTCGGGGTAACTGTAATTGAACGGGTCGGGTAACTGATTAATCAGGTAACTGTAACTGGACGGGTTGGGTAACTGTAACTGATGAATCGGGTAATTGTAACTATCGGGTCATGTAAATGTAACTGGCGAATCGGGTAATTATACGGGTCTCTGTGTATTTTGTAACTACGGAAGTCAGATCTGATCTGGTCTGGTTTGATCTGGTCTGGTCTGGTCAGATCAGGTCTGGGACTGAAAATAGTCCAAAAGAAAACACTGTGATTTGATTAATTTATTAATCCGTGAAAAAAACTGGTCAATTAAATGTGGTATATAAATAAAGTAGTCCGGATAAGAAACGTGGGTTACGTAGGGGTAGGTACAAAATGCTTCGATCTAGAAGTTTACTAACAGCTATAAATAGAAGAGAAATTTGGTCCACTCCAACATCAAACAAAATTCAAACAATAATCATACGGTATAGCTAGTATAATTCTTTATTATTGTCCCTTTCAGAAATAATAATAATATAATATACCTTCATTCATTTCTAGAAAAAGAAATGGTTGTTGTGATAATGGACCTCTTAAAAAACTGGTGTGATGAGCCGCAAGAAGATAGTCTAGTACACCAATCGTACCATTGCCACGAATGTATGGACGGTGATGATAATGACGCTGATGATCAGGATGAGGAAGATGACGGGGAGTACTCGGAACCCGAGTTCATAGAACCCGAGGAAGAAGAGGAAGAGGAAGAAGAAGAGGAAGAGGAAGAGGAGGCGGATCCATCAGATAGTGATGAAGAACTGGGGGATCACAATTACCCTTTTCGAAGCCACGACCCATATCGGGATACAGATTCGGATGATTCCGGGTATGACGACGCGGATGAAGAGGACGTTGATGATGATGCAGAAGGCATGGATGCAGATGACAGCGGAGATGACAATCGCTAGGGAGTGCTGCTTAATGTTCTTATCAAGTGGTTTTCGTCCTCAAATAAAGTTCTCATACTTAATTCCAACTACATGCACTTTCCTTTGTTTATCTCATGTGATCTATCTACGCACGACGACGTACTACGTGGAGCAGCTGGCTTAATATCCATAGGCCATACGTACCTTGGATCATCCACTCGATCCATCCTATGCTTAAATATATTCGTTTGTTGTTTATTTACCGATTTACGTACTAAAGTGATCTATCATACCTCTATAACACCTTAATTCATGTTTCTTACATTTAAACCTGAGTGTGGCAAATTTTTCCTTAATTCATGTTTCTTACATTTAAACCTGAGTGTGGCAAATTTTATGGTGAAATTGTTAGAGTATTTATTTAATTATTAATATTCTAATATATGTGAATATTTTGGGAAAAGGTACTCCAATAGGAACCCTGGCATGTCTATTTATAATAAAAGAGTTAAATACATGCATAATAGGAAACAAATATCCTCATAATATTCTATTACATCCGCTCAAACTGTGCGGGAGAAACAACGCGCAAGTTGTCTTTTAAAAAATGAAATTGCTGACTAGAAATACTTTTAGTAAAAATGGTTAGCTAACTGCAACTGAGTAGGAACATACTTCACAACTAAATCTTCATGAGCTACACGCTCCCGACCAAAGTGATAGTCTATCTGAATGTGCTTGCTACGAGTATGCTGAACTGGATTAGCAGTCAAATAGGAAGCAAATATATTATCACAAAAAAGTTGAACTGGTGTAGAAACAAGAAAACTGAGCTCATATAGTAAAGAACGAATGTGAAGAGTATCCTGAACAGTATAGGCAACCGCCTTATACTCAGCTTCCGTAGAGGATTTGGAGACAATAGGCTGCTTCTTAGACTTCCATGAGATTAAATTCGGACCTAAGAACACAGCAAACCCAGTCGTGGATCGAGATGTATCTGGACAGCCAGCTAGCCCAATCAGCATCGGAGTAAGCAATAACACAAGTAGCCCGAGATGTGGGCCGAAGCCATAATCCATGATCAAGAGTCTCCTGCAAGTATCTAAAAATCCTCTTGGCAGCAAACAAATGAGTGGTACGAGGAGCATGCATAAACTGAGACACTAAATGCACATCATAGGTAATATCAGGTCATTTCAAAGTTAAATATTGTAACGCACCAACCATACTACGATACTCAGTAGCATCAACAAGGAGTTCACCATCAGTGAGGGATAGAGAAGTGCGGGTAGCAAGTGGAGTACGAATGACTTGAGGGTATGAAGATGAAAACGAGACAGAAATCAGACACATCTTTATGCTGAGATAGAAACAAACCTTTACGGGATCGGATAGTCTGGACTCCCAAAAAATAATGAAGATCTCCTAGATCTTTCATAGCAAAATGCTGAGCAACAAGCTGAATAAAAGAAGTGACAACAGCGGAAGAATTGCCAGTAATAATGATGTCATCAACATATAGTAATAGATAATGACATTATTACTTTGGCAAAAAATAAATAATGAATTATCAGACTTGCTGCACATAAAATGATGAGATAAGAGAAAGCTACTAAATCTGTGAAACCACGCCCGCGGGGCTTGCTTAAGGCCATAAATAGCTTTTCGCAAACGACATAAATGATGAGGAAACAAAGGATGAATAAAACCCCGCGGTTTACGCATATAGTCTTCCTCAATCAGATGACCATGTAAAAATGCATTTTTAACATCCAATTGACGAATAACCCACCCAAAAGAAATAGCAAGTGTAAGAACTATACGAACCGTGGTGGGTTTAATAACTGGACTAATTGAAAGTTTCAGAAAAATCTACACCTGCCTGTTGATTAAACTCCTGAGCAACCAAACGAGCCTTGTGACGCTCAATAGACCCATCAGAATTATATTTAGTCTTATAAATCCACTTAGAGCCTACAACATTTTTAGTATTATCAAACGGAACTAAATCCCAAGTATTATTAGAAATAAGAGCATTAAATTCCTCCGCCATTGCCTCACGCCATTTTAGCTGTTTATTAGCATCAGAAAAACAAGTAGGATCAGCTGATAAAGCAATAGTGTTGAGATTAAAAATAGTTTGGGGTTTAAAAATTCCTCTTTCATTTATTTATTCATCTACATATTGATTTCTAGGATTTCTAGGTTTGAAGTGGTACGGCTATCCACTACCGATGTTTAGAAGTCCTACGTTTGGTCCATTATAATTGTTGGCGGAATTTACTCAAGGGAGGTTTCTCATTCTTTTGGGGATGGTGGGCCGGGGAATTTAGCTCTGTTCTACCTTTCAATTTGGCAGTCTCATATTAGAAAACATTTATATGCTTATTTAAGTCATATCTTTTATTTAAATTTTCATCTCCACTTTCGTTAATTTGCAAACACCTATTCTATGATTTAGTAGTATAATTCTAATGAAACTCCATTTCAATAAATTATATCCACCTGTTGTCCTGTCCTGCAAAAATCATAGCAAACCTAGAAACTGAGGATATGACTGGATGACTGAAAGTGAACATTGGAATTGAAAAAGATCACTATCGACAATTTTTTTCTACATATCGAAAAACATTTAACTCTAACAGCTAAAATGGCTACCAAGGATATAAAACTAAGGATGTTTTTACTTGGACTAAAATTTTCTGGTCTAGTCTGGTGAATGTCTGGTCTCTGTGTATTTTATAACTATCTAAATTTGGTCTGGTCTGGGACTGAAAAGAGTCCAAGTAAAAACATCCTAAAAGGAGTTTCAGGTTTGTGAACCAAAAGTATTCTATGAAATGTAAGAGGTTTGCGCCTCTTCTTTTTCCACTTTGTGCTTCTCTTTTAGGTTTCAGTGGTTTGGATTCATTTGTAAAGCATTTTAGACGTAGCGTTCAGAATAAGATTATTCTTGGTTGTTTTACTTGTGTGTGGTTATAATTTATGGTTCTTGAACCTAATCAATCTTGAGTAGAAAAGTGTGAAACAATTCTAAACACGGTTGTAAGCAATCTATTAAGAGAACAAGTATCCTCACTGCAAGGGGCAAAAAGGATCTAAGGTCTCACTTCATCTTCTTAAGAAAACAAGTCCATGACATATAGCAAGTGTTTCTATTTTTTTCGTCGTAAAAGTGTTTATGTTTTGTTGTGTAGAACCTTCTTTAAATCTTTTTTCACTACTTCTTTCGTTCCTTACAACTTATTTGTTACCGACATTTCAGGAATACTTTCTTAGTTGCTTTTGAATTTGAATTTACTGCAGGCCTTGCAAAAAAGATTGTAAACCGAAAGTTTGAGTTAATAAATTTCGTTTTAGTAATTCATTTCGTTTATAAAGTTATTCTGCTTCATATTTGACATGATGCTTGTACTAATAAATAGCTTTCCACGCCAAAAGATGAGCTGCCAATTTTTGGTTAACATCTCGCCCTTGTACTAAAGTACTCTGTATTTGTTGCTATATCACCACCCTTGAATACAAGTACTGCATTTGTTTTGTCGGCTATCTCACCGTCCTCGAATTCTAAAATAGAAAATCGTTTTTGTCACTCTAAGGTACTCACTCATTGATTGTTGTATTTCATTTCTCAAAACTATTCCAATAAACTTTTTAAAGGTTCAGTTGTTGTTGCAGAGAAGGTTTTGGTTGTTGTGAAAGTATAAAAGGAGAAACACAAAGCTGATCTTGTTGAGGCTATAACACGTATAGGAAGTATTATTCAACCCGGTATTGCATTAACCTACTTGTGGCTTTCCTTCTACACTTCTCATAATTTGACTACTTATATTTTTACTTGGCCAATTGTTTTTTGGCACACTAACCTTGTCAAGGCTGTCATTTAATTCACATCTGCCATTTAGAAAATTTGGCTAATATTAATAAAAGTAAATACAATAATGAAATAAATAGGTTTTATTAATGTTTCTAACCTTAAGCATTATTTGGGGGTGGATGGAGAGTAATGTTTGTTGAGCACCTAATTTTCTTAGACCATTTGGGTGTGCTCTTATTGACTATACATTCTAAACTTATAGCATGTCTGATTTTGCCTTTAAATTTATTGAAAAAGTTTGCCAAACATACCGTTTATGCTAAGCGGTTTCCCACCTTTAAACTCCAAGAAAATTAAAATATATAGCATGTCTGATATTTTCTTTAGATTACTTCCTATCATACATAAACTCCAAGGGAGTTTCACCTTTTTTAGATGCTAAACGCAGTATTATATAATTCTTAATAGAGTGAAAAAATTTCCAAACATTTTTTCCCTTAGGATCCATTTGGAACCTAGAAGATACTAGGGCAAGAAAATAAGAAGGAAAGCATAGAGGAAATTTATAATAAAAGAAAATGTGAGGAACAGAACTAAAATCTAAATCTAAATATAAGTATAGATCTTTAAAGAACTAATCATATTTAATTCTTACATGCGCTTTTCAAGACTCCAATTCTATGAATTTTTCACTCCACAAATTAAGTGCATATTTAGTTAATGAGAACTCTTCTCATCAGGCCGGCCTGACGGGCTGCCCCGTCCGGCCGAGCCCGTTTGGGCACCTTTCCGGTGGAATTTTTTGATGAATTTTTTTGAAAATGTTCCTCATCAAGTCTAGTTTGTCCATACCAAATTTCAGCTCAAAATTCGATCGGGAAGGTCGTCAAATGATTTTTGCAAGTTAACTGGTCCGGAAAATACATATTCCGGACCAGTTAACTTGCAAAAATCATTTGACGACCTTCCCGATTGAATTTTGAGCTGAAATTTGGTATGGACAAACTAGACTTGATGAGAAACATTCTCAAAAAAATTCATCAAAAAATTCCACCGGGAAGGTGCCCAAACGGGCTCGGCCGGACGGGGCAGCCCGTCAGGCCGGCCTGATGAGAAGTTTCATCTTTAGTTAATAAGGACTATATATTAGAGCTGCACTGACTTTCTTAGGTAAAATCAAACATAAAAAAATAGCTTTACGAAGCATGTTGTTCTTTCCCTTAGCCTTATCCTTGATCCATTCCATAGAGAAAAGAATGTGGTTGAGCATGTCCCTTGCATTAGCAAAACTTGATCAAATTTCGTGAAATGGTTAAATATTGCAGTCATTTTCTTACCTTTTAAACTAACACAAATGTTGTCATCTGTTTTACATGCAGAAAAAGTACAACCATGCAAAAATACTTCCAGACTGAGGGAATGGTAAGTGAGAATGAAATTTAATAGAAAGTACAATGTAATGTATGATGATTTATTTACTATTAGCATCCAGCTGTATATGTGTTTTTAGACAACTATCACTCACTTTTTCTGATGCTAGAAATTAAATTTATTATATTTTCAAGCATTGTAACTCCGTTTATTGTCAATTGTTGAAAGTTGAAACTAAAGGAATATGCTGTTTCCAAAAAAAGGAAAATGTCGTGACTGACATTTACATTAGGGCGGCTGTTGACATTAAAATTAGGTTTTTAGACAAAAATTATGAATGATTTTGGAAGTTTTTAGAACCAAAATAGTGTGGCAACATTAGATACTAATTAACACTTTTATGAGTCTAAGTTTGAAAGATGGTGTCTATTTTCCCCACTTATTGAAATGGTGTGGAAAAATATTTAGGGTTTATTTTAATTACACATTGAGTGGTTGTGATAAATTATTTGAGCTTTATTTTAATTATATTGCACATTGAAAAAAGGGAATGAATTCATTATGATATTCATATAGTGATGTATTTTTTTTGTTTTTACACAAACGGTGCACTTTTGCTAGACTTATAACACAAAAATAGGTTCTTAGAGTACGTGGTATATCTGTTCAGAAAATTCAAGTAAAGCTTATTGTCTTCATAAAGTCATAAACAAAATAATACGCTCATATTCACGCAACATGAATAATATTGGGCATTATACTAATCGCGCAACGCGCGACACAAAACCAGTAACTTCTATATATATATATATATATATATATATATAGAGGAAAGTTCATGTCAGGACCTCTAAAAACGGACCTCCGTACGGACCTCGGCGTTTGGGCCCCTTCCCGGTGGAATTTTTTGATGAAACTTTTTGAGAATGTTCTTCATCAAGTCTAGTTTATCCATACCAAATTTCAGCTAAAAATTCCACCGGGAAGGCAGTCAAATGATTTTTGGAAGTTAACTGCATTTTATATGTATATTAAGTGCGCAGTTAACTTCCAAAAATCATTTGATTGCCTTCCCGATGGAATATTTAGCTGAAATTTGGTATGGACAAACTAGACGTGATGAAGAACATGCTCAAAAAATTTCATCGAAAAACTCCACCGGGAAGGGGCCCAAACGTCGAGGTCCGTACGGAGGTCCGTTTCCGGATGGTCCTGACAGGAAGACTACTATATATATATATATATATATATATATATATATATATATATATATATATATATGATGCACACTTGTAAGTAGTGCATAAATGTATGTTTTTATGTTTGATTTGTGTTGATTGTCTACCTTTATTATTTAGTTTGTAAACATTTGTGTGATTTTAGTTATAATTGTATTTTAGCTTTCATTTGTAAGTTGTAAAGTAGTGGTAGGATTTGGGGTGTTGGAAAAGAGGACTTTGCGATTGAAGTGAATAAACCTACCCGGGTAACTTCCCCGGTCGGGTATACTCTTTACTCGGTCAGGTATGGGTTGACAACGGAAGCTACCAATAAATTGGACTGATACTCGATCAGGTATAGCCCTTTACCCGATCGGGTATGAAGTGATCCAGACAAAGAGACGTGCTAGCTGCTGGAACACAAGAACGTGGGAGATTGTTTCGAATTTGACCAATACTCTGTCGGGTATTCACGTACTATACCCAGAGGGGTACCCAGCCCAAGGTGTTGAAAACACATATAAATAGCATCATTTTCTCCCTTTATTTTTAATCATTCCTTCTTCCATATACGTAAGCTCGACTTAAAATAATATTTTCTTTATATTTTTCTAGCATTATTTAGTCTCCAAATAAGGAGTTTAAACATTTATTTCTTGGTTTTGCTCTTGAAGCTTGTTGGATGTTAAAGTTGTGAGTTATTTTCTTATTTCTTCCCTTGAATATTAATTCTTCCCTTAATCTTATTTCTATATTAATGTTGGGGAGTGTTGTTAAATGATAATTAGTTAACATATTGACATTAATTACTATTGAAAATGACTAATGAACCGATGGTTAATCATTGCTGGTTTCACAAGTTAGTAACTTCGGGTTATTATTGCACGATTGTGATTAATAATCTTAAGAGGAATTAATTGTGTTGGTTAAACCGAAACCATTGTGTTAAGGTTATCAATCTCAATTGATTGTATCAAGGAGTTAAGAGATTAAATGCTATTATCAAGTCGGTATATGACTGTTTTCTATACTTGGCTGATAGTAAGGGTTATTAATGAACGGTCGTTATTAATAACTACCCTTGAGGCCTTGATGAATTGGAGATACTCCTCAATTGAGTATTCGAGAGGGGATAAGTTATAAATATAATCAGGATTAACAAACATATCAACAAGTGAAAACTAGCAAAATCAAGTCTTTTATCTCATTATTAATTCAAATCATATAAGTCATTCATCTTAGTGTTTAATTAATTAAAATCACGCAATCCCAAAATCCCCCTTGTACTAGTCCATTAAAATAAAAGTATTTCTTTCCTTGTGAATACAAACTCTACTTCACAATACTACGTATTAGTGTTAGTATTGAATTTATTTTGAAGTATACAACATCTTTAGTGCCATCAATATACTATGATAGAAACTCAGTTCCCAAAAGAATTAAATCTATAAGAATTGATAATGTGATTGAATTCATGTTTTCTTCTGTCTATAATTCCAAAGGTATAATACATCAAATGTCTTGTGTAGAAACATCTCAACAAAATGATAGGGTTGAGAGAAAACTTCAACATCTCTTACAGATTGCTAGATCAATATTATTTCAATCCCGTTTACCTCTTAGTTTTTAGTCTAATTGCATTCTTAGTGATGCACAGATCAATCTTATGCCAACGTACAAATCGAAAGAAGCTCAGCACAAATCAACTCAAGGCGATAAGGATGTTGAGAAGCAAGTCAGTCATCATGCTCCTGGATGTCATCTGCTCAAACCTCTCCATCCATCGCATCCAGGATCTTCTTACCATTTCCGGGGATTCATCCGATGGAAGTCCTTCCCGATTGGGTTCTCCTCCCATCGGATGTATGTATCTTGATCAAATTAGAGGGTTCGCTTCTCTAACCCGTGCAAAAGTTTAGCATATCCTTCTTTTCTCTGCACAACTACAATCATATTTTTTCACTTTCTTGATAGAGATGTCAAGTCAACCCGAAAGAAATTCTCTCTTGTGTGGGGGGTTTACTCACTAGTATTCTTTAGAATTCGAAAATAAACTACATGCTTCAATTTTTAATACATAGTACAGATATTAACAATCGGTTATAAACGGTTTACTAACACTACAAATTTGTTATTTTATTTACATATATTTGTAATTTTGTATGAACTTGCTATTATGAGGGTGCAGAACTGTGACTAGTCATGGACCTGGGCCGGGCCGGTTCCGGGCCGAACTTTTTTTTTGGGAAGGAAGGCCCGGGACCGGCCCGGGTAGCCACCGGGTCCGGTCCGGGTCCGGGCCGGGCCGGTTTGCCAAATACAAGGTCCGAGCCCGGACCCGAGAACCGGGCCGGTTCCGGGCCAGCACAGTGGCGGGCCGGGCCGGTCCCGGGCCGGGCGACCCGAACCGAGTCCATGACTAACTGTGACAAAAGACCAGCTAAAAATAACTAGGATGGAAGTCATGGAACCAACTTTCGTACGAGAGTACAAGATAGCGACAACCAAGCTCAGTTTTGTCGTTGAAAGTTGCCGGAAAGGAAGATATCAGAAATCATTTGCTCGAAATTCGTTGCTATGCACGTCAGCACGTGGCAATGATAGAAGATAGGGAAAAAGAAGCACCTTCCCCACAAAGCACCATTCACAGATTAACCGCCATTGCGAACATTTTTAATAAGCTTATATTGTTGATTATATTATATTTAATATAATGCTTAATCGATCTTTTTATTATAGTACGAGGGCTTATTTAATGTTTTCACTTATTTTTTTGATGGTAAACGCAAACAATTTTTTTGGATTGACTCAATACTCAAAACGGACAACTTTTTAATTGTAAACAAATCTGAATTGCCTTTTCTATTTTCATTCTTTCATATTCCGTACTGTTTGCTGTGTTTCATCCTTTGGAAAACAAATACTTTTGTGCATTTTCTTTTCTCCGAATGGGTAACATAAAAGTTCTGCAAAATAACAAAAAAATACAAATATACGCAATGAATCATTCACTCCAACTTACAAATTGCAATTATGAGCAAAACAGAACATAAAATATCTGGCAATCTATGTAGTTCAGTAGTTGATATCTGGCGAAACCCCTCGAGTATGACCAATGTCTGAACCAATTTATCTCAGTTGAGGGAAGGCCGAAAACATGATATCTGGCATGGAGAAATCACTGTCCCCTCACAAACCATAAGATCCTCGGTCTTAAACTTTCTCAAGAATAAGCAGGTGCTGTTAAGATGATAACACGAACAAAGGGAAGAGAACCCACCACTCAACCCTACTGCCTGGTTGCTCACAGTCTCACAGATGACCGTAAGATAGATGGAAGCCGATAAATAAAGGAAGCAGCCGATCTTAAGAGACCCCTATTATTGGTTGGAAATCAGAAAAATGAATATGATAAATGTTTTTTTAAAGAATTAAATATGTTTAGACACGTATCTGAGCTTTTATAGTAGAAACTGAAAAAAAAACAAGGCAAAGGTACAGAAAAGGTAAATGAGATTGGACACGTTTTCAGAAAGAGGCTTGTGTTTCATTTCTTACATAAATAGTCCCTGTGTTTTGATTGCGTTATGTCGTTATCACTGGAGGGGTCCAGCGCCTAACGCCGTTAGAAATTATCGGAGGAAGACGATGAAAGTAACTATGATTTTCAAAAGTGACCGAAAAAATAAAAGAAAAATATTAAGCAGTGTGCTTCATCGAGGTGATCTCCAAACCATCTTCCTTTTTGGACTTTTCGGCCCTTTAGGATTTTTTTTTAAATTATTTGTCAATATTACTTTTCCGGTAGAGATTCCAACGACAAGGTGGCTGAAAATAAAAAAGATGACGTGAAGGTTGCCTTGACAAGACGCACCTCCCAGTATTTCTCTTTTAATTTTCTCAGGTACTTTTGAATATACTGTTCACCATTTCCTCCGGCGATTTCCAACGGTTTTAGGTACCAGACCCCTCCAGTAATAATAGAATCAAAATACGGGGACTTTTTTTATATGAAACGAAACATAGACCGCTATCTGAAAACGCGCCCAACCGCAAGTACCTTTTCCATACTTTTCTAACAAAACAATCAGTTTGAACTGATCATCATCGTCATTACCCCAGTGCTGCAAAGGCTCCCATCTACGGTGGGGTAAGGGGGTCGGATGTCCTTACCCCTGTACTAAAGCACATAAAAACTTTCCCTATATTTTCCCCAGCATTTCTTTGCCAAGCATTTTCCAATGCCCAACAGACCCTAAAGACTGTAAAAGTTGAACAAGTAAACCAGGATAAGATTTAATTTACCAAATATGTGTTTGACTTGTTCTGTTTAAGTATGGTGGAGAGCCCAAATCATCTACTTGAGTGGAGGAGATAACAAGTCTCTGAAACTTAGTTGATAACTCCTTATATGACAGAACTTCAGATGGTTGCACTCTCTGAATGCCAGCCTTCAAGTGGTTCATTGTTATTTCTGAGGCTCCAAGGTTCTCCTGATTTTTATATGATTAAAGGTTGTCATCTAAGCTTCTACAAGTATGTATGTTTGTAGAAAATAATAATGAGAAATTGTTCAGCAGCATACTTACTTCAATGGCAGCAATGGCTGCTTCACGGCAAATAAGGGATATATCAGCACCTGTACATCCATCGGTGAGCCTAGCAAGCTCTTTTATGCATACATCAGAACCACATGGAATCTTGCGCAGATGAATCCTGAATATATCCTCACGGTCATTTTCATCAGGTGGCCCCACATATAGGAGTCGATCGAAACGACCTAGCGAATTTGACATTACTTATGAGTTATTCAGGTATTTCAGTTTCAAAAGGAGATCACGGGTCCTAGCAGAAAGACTACTACTAATGCAAGCAAGGAGAAGATGTAGCACCTGGTCTTAAAAGGGCAGGATCTATCTTGTCTGGACGATTTGTAGCAGCAAGGACAGTTACATTAACTCTTTGATGCAAACCTGGTGTAGGAAACATCTTTTCAGTATTCTCAGTTTAAGGTAAATTGGTTCTAATTTAACTATCTACTTTGAGTTAGCTTGCCCACGTTCAAGATATAGAGCTCATTTAGTAAGGCCATAATCGTTGAAGTGACCGACTTAATAGCAGTTGCTGAATCTGTTTAATTATCTAAAAAAATTAATAAATGCATACTACACTCTACATCTATCCCCTAAGATTGGGATAAGAGGGAAGAAAAAAGAAATGGTGTGGTTGGTATTTAATTGGTAAAGTGTGAATAAAGTATGGGACAAACTTAGTGGGACAGACAAAAAATGTAAACCGAGACAAAGATATGAGGATGGAGGGAGTATATTTAATTGAACTTAAGAAATAATTTCAAAAATAAAATTATCAATTTTAGCTGGCAAAAGACTCATGCACAACATTTTTCCATTATCATCCAATTCAGCCAACACAGCAACGTCAAATAAATTAGAGTGCATAAAAAAAACTAGCCGATAAGCAAAAAATGAAGCCTAACAAATGCCCAAATGAGCTTATAATAACCAAATACTTCTGGTCTGGTCTAGGACTGAAACCAGTCGAATTAAAAACTTCCTAATTAAGCAACATATAAACATACAATTGAAACTAACAGTGTAATGATGGTTAGAAAAAGGGATTGAGTAGCTGATATATGATATTTTCCCATTCAACTTTATACGAGGAAAGAAAACTTTATAATAACCAAATACTAATTAAACAACTCATAAACATAAATTTAAAACTGAAGTTCTAACAATGCTTAGGAAAATGTTGCAAAAAAAACGATGCTTAGGACAAGGTGTTATAATGCTAATTTATGATGCTTTTTCATTAAAGTTTATACTCATGAAAAAAACATTGTGTTTCAAACTTTACTTACCATCCAATTCAACAAGAAGTTGGCTCATCACCCGATCCGCAACAGAGACCCCATCACTCTCTTTCCCACGGACAACAGCAAGACCATCAATTTCATCAAAAAATATAATAGAGGGGGCATTTGCCCTTGCTTTGGCAAACAGGGCTCTAACAGCCTTTTCTGATTCACCTACCCATTTGCTGAAAAGTTCAGGTCCCTTCACAGCAAGAAAGTTTAACCCAGCCTCAGAAGCAACAGCACGAGCCAAAAGAGTTTTGCTACACCCAGGAGGACCAAACATCAAAACCCCAGTTGGGGGGCGGGTCCCTATCCGTTTAAACGCTTCCTGGTGCTTTTGGGGCCACTCAACAGCTTCCATCAGTTGCATCTTTACCTCCTTCTGCCCACCAACATCTTCCCAGTTGACCTTAGGAACCTCTATTATTACCTATTTTGCAAGACTGACCAAGTTAGAAATACATGTAGACTGTAGAACCACAAAAAAGCTAAGGTGGTTTAGTAGGCTATATTCTGGCTTGTAGAGGCATTGTTTACCAAACACCTAACTATTGTTATTGTTACTGCACTGGTTGAATTAACTAATAATGAAAAGCAGTGCATGAGTTACATTTTGGTCAAGGTTGATGAAAATGATACTTTAACTTTAATGTTTTGATAATTTTTTCCTATAAGTTAGTTAAATATTAAAATCTAAATAGTTAGTTAGATAGTCCTATTAATTCTACAAAATCAACCATTTCAGCCATAAGGCCCATAACTTTAGCAACTCCAGCAGATTCAGCAATATCAAATAGGCATTATATCTAATCAGCGCAAAAAATAGTATACAATCCATAGAATGCTAAAAGTTAAGCAATTTGACGCCTGAGGAAACATAACAGAATAGATCAAGTGTAAGTGCCTAAGCATCACATACTCACATCTACTTAGCATTTGTATTCCAAGTTAAACTTAAAAGCTTCAATATTTATCTGCAAATTTCTGCATGCCTCCAGCTCTAGTTACGCAAAACATCAATTTTTATTTACGTGTTACAAATTGACAACGTATCTGTTCAAATCCCACAATAATGGAAAGATACATACCTCTCGCATGGCGCTTGGCCTTACTTTAAATCTTGCACTTTCAAAGTCATCCACTGTTACCGTTAGAATTCTTTCATCTGCAGCAGACATTCCATTTACATTCTCCCCTTTCAGAATGTCTGACAAAATGCATGCTTCAGTTATTGCTGATGATCCCTCCATATTGACTTTAGAGAGTTCACTTTCTTCTAAACAAAGGGAATCTTCCATATGTCTATTATAGCAACCATTCCGAAGATGAGTTGATGGTTTGGCATTTGAATCGCCGTATGAAATTTTAAAGTTTACATGCCTCCTGAGAGAAACCAGAGCAGCTTCATTGCAGAGAGCTGCTAGATCAGCACCAACAAACCCATGAGTAGCCGTTGCAAGATGTTGAATATCCTTTTCCAAAAGGGAGTGATCCATCTTATCGAGAAGTGCCATTAGTATTTCATAACGCTGCCTAGGAGATGGTACACCTGTAAAAAATTATCCATCAAACAGTCATGCAAAGAAGCATTGTAAACGAGAAGCAAAAATCAGTAAAAATTTAATATGAGATATAAAGAATGTATTTGGATCTCAGAGAATTGTATGGTAAGAAGAGTTTTTTTTCTTGTGCTTGGTTTTTACCATGGAAATGCGAAAGAAGATAAGTTATGGTTAGTGTTCTATATTTTCATAAGTTTAGATTTATATATTAATTTAAATAGATAATTAAAAATGATTTTGAACAAATATCAAAAATTAAATTAGGGTGAACATTTTTTTTTAGTTTTCACTCACGTTTCCTTCCAAATTTCTGCTACACTTTCCTCCATACTCTCTCTCCCTACCATTTTCAGAGTTCCAAACAGATCCAAAATGAAATGAATAAATACATCCCAAATAACCTATTTCAATTTCTCGGTCAAATCTTCCTGGTCGTCTAAGTGCAGGCTCAATGCTGTCGGGTCTGTTGGTTGCTGCAATAACAAGCAGCCCATCAGTTCTGCTTATTCCATCCATCAAGTTCAACAGTGTTGCAACCATTCTTTGAGAAAGTTCGTCACTCCCATCAGCACGCTTAGGTGCAATTGCATCCACCTCATCAATGAACACCTGCAAATGCCACACTTAATTATCAGCTGAAGAAGAAAACCATGACTTCTTATCACAAGAATTGGAAAGAGATATTTTCAATTCTTCAATAGGAAAAGTCTAACCACAGCAGGTGGAGCCTGGGCAGCTGAATCAAAAATTTCATGCAATGCTCGTTCACTCTGCCCATGATATTGACTAATGATTTCAGGCCCATTCACTGAGAATAAGTTAACACGAGTGGAATGCGCACACAATCGAGCCAAAGAAGTCTTTCCTGTTCCAGGTGGTCCATGAAGAAGCACTCCTTTTGTAGGTCGTAAACCCATGCTGTGAAACAGTAATCTAGAACAATCAGTCTAATACTCTACAGTAACTGGCTTGCAAAATAAGAGCCCATCCTTCAGCTTCCATAATGTTTATAATACTGTTAACAATCTTATGAAACAAAAGGCACACATTTTCCATTTCAGGCATGCAATGCAATTATTAACGTGGCAGCGAGAATACCTAGCCACAATGTGTTTCACTGCTGATGATATAATTATCTCTTTTAGCTCTGTAGTTTCCTTCATTAGGCCACCCAACATAGAAACATCAAGCCCAATGTTATTCTTTTCATCACACTCATGTTCTGTCAACACATCTCCTCCTTTTGAAGAACCCTCCTCAACTTTTTGTGGGAGATGTACACAAACTTTAGTTTCTTGATCAATCAAAAACGAAACATTACTATGGACCTCCAAATCTGTTGAATGTGGATAAGGTTTCTGGTCACTTTTGTCCTTTGCACAATGATTCCCTTTTGTAGAGACTTTTCTAGCATGTGTAACAACAAATGCACAGACTCTGGAAAGTACAGGTACTATCACAATGTTTCCCGTAAGTAAACTTCGAGAATATAAAGAATATCCAATGCATGTTTGTACAAGTTTTCTTGAGCTCTCATCCTCTAAAACTTCCTTAAAAAAAGTTATGTTGCTACATGTACCATACAGATCAGATGAATCTGGGAATGATTCTTGATAACTTGATGCACTTGATGACTCACATGGTCGGACTGCTGATTCTATTTGAGAGGTAATGGTTCTCTTCCCCATCAAAGTTTCCTTCATTGACACAGGTGATATGTATAATTCCTTGCAGCTGCATGATGAGAAGTCACAGTCTTTTTTGTTAGGTAAATTCTCGTTTCTGTTTAAGATACTCCTTAATGGTTGATCAACTAAAGGATGAACAAAAATAATCCTTCCAGAAACAGGACAACCCATTGAGCATGAAAGGTTTGAAGAAAGTCGCACTGCATGCTTTAAAACCTACAGACAGAGCAGATTAGATGCCAATTTCTTCCTCCTCCAAAATGATGCGAAGTGATATACATCAAGAATGGATGTCACAAGGTAGAAATATTGATAAAGGGAATGGGAACCAAGGTTCTTATTTCAATAGTTATATACTTATATTAAAACATGGGAGGGATACAAATATTAATGAAGAAGATTTACATTTCTTAAGCTACCACATTTTGGAGCAATATAAAATATATGAGAACTGGAAGCAAAGGCGAAACTTTGCACAATATATACATATTATGTATATGTGCGTTCGTGTGTAATTTTATATTTATATGTGTGTGTGTGTGTCAATGTGTATCATCTTTTCCCCCTCATCTTCTTTTTCTTTCTTGTATCATCTTATCCTTTTATCTTTATATATATTCTTCTTATCCTTTTTATTCTATCATTTTTATATATAGTCATCGCTTTCTAAATTACCTTTTTTATCATAGCTTATGTTTTTATCTTTCTTTTCCTTTTGGTTACGATATCATGTATCGAATCATGTTAGCCGACCCCATGATTTTTGGGACTAAGGTTTGGATGTTTTTGTGTGTGTGTCAATGTGTGCATATATAGATATGCACACGCGCACGTGTGTGTGCAAATTTATGTGTGTGTATGTATGCCTAAAACTTTTAAATTTGCTTCCATAATTTTATTTCAATTTTTTTTTTTTGAGATTTCCCAAAATTTCTCCCCCTTCCCTTTTAAGGGAAATTTTGTGTGGTTGGTATTGTTTTAATCCTTTCTAGATCAACCACAACTATACAATTTCACTTTCTTAATAAGTGTGCCAAATCAAAATGATGGGACAAATGTTATTAGATGGAGGACATATATAACAAGTATGCTGAAGTAAGAATAGGCTTACACATAAAAAATTCAATCATATTTAATATCATATTACAAATGTACAATACAATTTCCCAGCTGCCAGCCAATAAAAACCTAAGTTATGTTAGTCATGTAGTATTAGAATGGCCACATCTACATATAGTACTTAGTACCAGTTTTCCTAGTGATAAATAGAAATGACTAGAGACTTAGAGAGAAAAGAAACTGTCCTAGAGTGACAATAAGAATGTTGCCCAAAAGAAAATATTTTCTAATGCTGTGATTCCCTTGCTGATAAGACTCGTGCATGGGAAATTAGCAAAGAATTAAACATATAAAAAGAAGAAAAGAACAAGATTCTTCAAAGATAATATGAAAAAGGACAAACAAAAGCTAAACCTAATGCTTTAATTGGAATTGAATTTTGTTTTATGAGCGTGTTACCAGGAATTGGTCCACTCAACTATAATTCTTTTCCATGGTTGAGTTTTTTAGAGGCTTTTTCATAGCAGCTTTTGAAGCACTTGTTTTTGGTTAATTAAGGACTGGGAAGGAAAACTTATATACTAACTTGTAAGTTGTAACTCATAAATGGGTCCTCTTGTAGTCTTGTACAGTTGAACCTTGGCACACGCAAGTCGCCTTATGGAAAATAATAACATCATTAGTAAGTTTATGTGGTTTTGAATAAATACTTTGAACTGTGCTACTATTCCAAAACCAATATATGTCATTGAAGTTCAAAAGTACAAAGACATATTAAGGTGATTAGGACATCAAAACTACAATTGCTTCAACCAAGTAACCGAATATAGGCATCTCCTTGAGTTTCACCATTTTTCTCATTGAAAAGAAAAAGCTAAACGGAAGCATTACCTTATAAGATCCATAACCAAACATTTATTTCTCAAGGGTTACACCATTATAAATAGTTTTTACATAGAAATAAAGTTTTAAAAAACTTATAATTTAAATTCAAACCTTACAAGATGGGAAAACGGTTGCAAGTACAAAATAGCTCCCTGCTTCATCAGACAATTGCTCCATGAATTCCAACCCAAGGTGCTTCGAGCATTCACTTGGCAAAGCACTAAGAGGGAAATTTCCGAGTGAGCCCATAGAGGAAGCAAGGGACACCTGTTTATTACATTGATATAAGAAAAATCAATCACAACTTACATTTTAGCCAACACTATCCATACAAACAGGCAAACCAATTTTTATTGTCTGTTTTGTTCGAGGTGAACCTGCCTTCTTTCAGGTTTAATTTGTAGTGCACCTCATTTGGAAAGTATGTTGATGAAATGAACTTGGGTTTTCACAGAATCTTGGAGAACCTCCGAAAATCCAATTTTGGATTACCTCCAAATTAGCAGTTTTGGAGGTCTGAGTTCTGTTTGTAAGTTAGTACATCCTCCATCCAAAAAAAAAAACTTTTATTATATCACGTAGGTGAAACTAGTAATTATCTAAACACATTTTTCGTGAATACAAGGTTTTTTAGTGGACTTGGGTTCCTAAGGTTAACTTGAGTTGACTCAAACAAAATTGAATCTTAAGTGAGCTTAAAGTTCCAATTTTTAACTAAACCATTAATAATGTTGCAAACAAAAAACCAAACCGTTATTAACATTACAAACATATATTCGAAAAGTCATTCTTTAGCCATAACTTGAATTGAAAAACAGCAGAAAAGACTAACTACAACCATTTAAAGTGATGCTAAATAAGCAGGGCGTCGGAAACACTATGGGAAGGAAGATGAATGCGGTTCATTTACCGAAACTAGGGAGCCGGGAGCAATGGAAGAAGCGACCATGGAAGCTTCGGAGAGCCAAATTTTACAACCTCCGGCTCCGGGAGAACACGGTTCATTAGCACCGGAAGTGTCTTCAGAGACGCGGCCAGTGAAGGCTGCCGTTGATATGAAATACGGGAACTTTCTAGAAGCTTCTTCAAGGTAACTTTGGAGCTCATCTTCACAGAGTTCCGAGACCAGGTTCAAGTTCGAAATCGGCGAAGGACTGTAAGGTGATGAAGGCACGGAGGGAGATGGAGAACCAGAGGCGTTAGAATCTGTCCGCGAAAGCCTGGAGGACGATTTCGAGTTTTTCTTCTTCGAAGAAGGCATCAGAAATTGAGTTGTTTTTAGAAGAATGGAAGGTTTAGGATTCGATTTCACGTTCTAGTGATGCCTGCTAATGCAGAGGGTTTAGTGTTTTTAAACCTCACGTCAAACAAGGTTTAGGGTTTTATGTTTTGCCATCAATCATATTCCGTAGTAGGTAATTTTTTTTTAGAAATACTACGTAGTTGACATGAATTTTCTTTAAACTTCTATTTAATCTATTTAATATAAATATGATTCATATGAAATTCAGATATTTGTATATAAATTAACGAAATGAGAAATAAAAATAAAAAATCTACTTGTGTGCTGTGTCCAATTCTTCCATTTATTATTTTTATATCACAATTTAATATTGTTGGAATAAAATATTATTACAAAATTTTACTATATACTTAAGATTGTTAGTATATGTGCTGCAATGTAAAAGAATCATTAATTTTTTGTATACCTTGCACTATTAAATTACATATTTTGTATATTAATAAATAGTTCAAGATTCAATTTAATTTTATTAAGGTTAAAAAAACCGAAGAATGTTATTTCAAAAAATGTAACAATGTGTTCAAAATTTCGCAAGAAGACTAAAATAATATGGGAAAATCCTCTAAAATTACTTGGGCATATGAGCTTTCCATAAAAGTGACCATTAAAAAATTGGGCCGAAAAAGTGACGCTCAAGGTCATAGTTTAGGAATTTATTTCCCAAATACGCACAATCACTGACGTGGCCGGTCATAAAAAAAAAGAATAAAACGGCATTAGGGAACAGTCGGTTCCGCCTGTGATTCTATTAATCTGAAGAACGAAGAGGACAAGCAAAATAAAGGGGACGATCTTCGCCGACTCGCCGAGATAATTTTGTTGTCTAAATTATGCCTCAATCATTTTGAATTCCGTAACTTCACAACAAAACCTCTGCAAACTTGGAGATGATCCGACCATTGTAACTGCGAACAGAAGCTTTCATATTTTCATTGAATTTTGCATAGCTTTCGTTCTGAATTTCGAATTGAAAAAATTCGTTTGAATTATCATCTGTTCAGCATCTTGTAACTGGAAATCGTGTTGTATTTGCAGTGTATATGCAAACAGAAGTTTTCATGTTTTCATTGAATTATGCGTAGCTTTTTTTTTATTTCAATTTCAATTTGCTTGTCATTCCTTCTAAGTTTTGATCTGTAATCGGATGTATGAATTTTTATTTGGAACTCTGTAATGCACATTAATGTAACTGCGAAATCTATTGAGCATTGTATTTTAAAATTGATTGTTTTTTTGATAATTTTCATTTTCAATGTAGTAATTGTGAGGCATGTAGAAACATGTCCTTTAGCTTTTACATGGTGATAATTATATATGATATGAAAATATGAGGTAAGTAGCAGTTAGTTTAAAAACAACTAATGTAACTTTGATCTTATTGTTTCAGTGTGAAAACAACTATTGTTTAACTGTGATCTTACCGTAACTATGATGGTGTCATGTAAACTAAGGAACTAGTTTCATAGTATGTAATTTATCATGAAACTTCCATTTTTATTTTCAGGTTAAGTATGGAGAAAGTTACTACCACAGTAATGTTTGATGGCCACTGGAATGCTAAGAAGAAATTTTTAGCAAGATCAACCCATGGAGTTCTGATAAATCCAAAGTCATCATATACTAAATTGATTAAGGATTTACATGATGCTTTGAATCTTCAGCCAAATGTCAATATCAACTGTGTGTCATACCAAATAGATAAAGAATTTGATCCAACACAGATTGACAGTGACAATAATTTACAATTTTATCTGCATCTTAAAGGTGTTGGGTATACACAAGTATCAAAGTACCCTTTATGTGTGCAAATAAATAGAAAAAGTGACATGGAAGCTAAGGGATATGTGACACTAACCAAAGAGTGGCATATTCTGAAGAAAGAATAAGTACTTTAACTGTGGCTCCTACAGTGGCTGGATACAACAATGAGGAGGTGTTGGATGAATATGTTGTGGCATATCAGCAATGTTCAACCACACAAACACCATTGCTGACGTGGTTGGGTGGGGGGGGAAGTGGTGACATGGAAGTTATGGATACAATCTTAAGGATCAATGGAATGTATCCAAGAAAAGAAAGCTTAAAGGAGAATTTGCAACTCCATATGCACTTCATAACAAATTTCAGTTCAAGACAAAAACGACACATCCCGATGTTATTCATGTTATTTGCTTTGAAGAAAAGTGCAAATGGGTTGTACGTGGGGTGAGAATGGATAAAAGTATCTGTTTTGAAGTGAGTAGGTATGCATCATTGACAATATCTTGCAGTTACATCAATTATTGTGTCACTATTTAGCTAAAAAATTAAAGTTAGCTTGTTTTTATATTAAGAATCAATATTATTGTGTTAAATCAGTTTGAATGTGTCACATGTTTGATAATTTGATAATGTGCACAGGTGCATTGATAATTGGAAAAATGATTAAGCACCAATACCTAGATGCCTCCCGAAAACCATGTCAACCGAAAGCCATAATGGCAGACTTAAATTGGAAATTGGGAGTTAATGTGAATTACAAGAAAGCATGGAGAGCTGAGGAAAAGGATTTGACATCAATATCGGGAACTGATAAAGAGTCATACATGAAATTGCCGATTTTATGTCATATAATGGACGAAAAAACCCAAGATCTATTATATATCTCAATTTTGATTCTCAGAATAATTTCAAGAACTTGTTTATGTCACTGGGAGCAAGTAGGCAAGGATGGATTGCTTGTAGGCCAATACTTAGTGTAGATGGATCATTTTTAAAAGAAAAATATTGTGGGACGATTCTTTCTGCATGTGCTCTTGATGCAAACCGACATTTGTTTCCAATAGCATTTGGAGTGTGTGAAAAGGAGAACAAAGAATCATGGTTGTGGTTCTTTACTAAACTTAAAGAATCAATTGGAGAAAGACAATAAATGTGATTTGTATTCGATAGAAACGAATGTCTTATTAGTGCTGTGAAAGAGGTATATCCTGGTGTTCATCATGGATATTGTGTGCAGCACATACTTGGAAATATAACTTCAAAGCTAGGTGGGAAAAAGAAAAATGTTATAAAGTTTTTCAATGTTGCTGCTAGGTCTGCAACAAGCAGAAAGTATGAATACTTTATGAAGTTACTGGACTCCCAAGACCCAGGGATTCGACAATATCTAGCTAAAATCGGTTGTGAAAATGGGCTAGGTGTAAAATGACAAGAAGGAGGTACTCAATAGTGACATCCAATAATGCAGAGTCCCTCAATAATGTTGATGCCACTGCTAAGGAGTACCCGATATCCATTTTGGTTGAGTTTCTGAGGCTAAAATTGCAAACATGGTTTCATGACAGAAGAAAAGAAGCCACAGAAAATGCAACAACTTTATCCCCATAAGTGGAAGTTGTGCTTGTAAATTTGCTAAGAGATTCTGGCGGCATGATTGTGAGTAAACTTTTATTAGTAGGGTGTATATAATAATCTGGACAAGGTATAATATGTTCAAAAAAGTATAAAAGCTTATAATCTTGATCTTTTGAATTCCAGTTACACTGTTTTTATGGCAGTAAAGTGTCTTGTGTTTTATTATTGTTAAAGTTATACTGAATTCATGTATAATCAGATATATGATTGTTTTCTATTTATTACAGGTAAGACCAAGCACTATTTTTAAGTATGAAGTGATAGATCAAAGGTGTAGGGCATTTGTGGTTAACCTTGAGTCAAGAGAATGTACTTGATATGTAGAGAATTTAATTGGAGGACTTCGTGTGTGCTCATGCAGTGGTAGCCATTAGGTCAATGACTGGATTATCTTGCTATGACCACATTTCAACATGTTACAAGAATAGTGCATGGTTGGAAGCTTATAAAGGAGTCATACAACCACTAGGTGAGTATTGTGAAGCAGATGTCCCTAGTGAAGTAAGAAATCAGATGATTTACCCACCAATATCAAAGAAACGGTTAGCTGGAAGACCGAAGAATAAAAGGATTCCTTCAGTTGGTGAGTTTGCTACATGGCAAAGGTGTGGAAGATGTAAACAAAATGGACAAAATCAAAAGACGTGCAACAACCCGACCGATACCACATCACTAAGGATTGAGATGATAATGATAAGTTCAATGTTATATGTAGTTACTACTTTCATTAACTATGTGTACTTCACAATATATCTGTGTGTGATGTTTTTCTTGGGACATAATAATTGATTTGAACTTCAGTTGTTTTTAAAGTGATAATAAATTGAGTTTGTCATTGGTAAAATGTGAAGTTGAAAGTGTGTGTGCGGATATATCTTGTTGTTCCAGAATTTCAGTATTGTAAGTTAATGTACTCCCTCCGTCCCAGAAAATTCTTCCAACTTTCCTTTTTGGGACGTCTCAGAAAATTCTTCCAACTTCACCTTTTTGATTATTTGTGTGGCTCACATTCATTATACCTTTTTCTTACACAACTACAACCATATATTTCTATTTTATTCCACCACCTAAATATGCGATCCAACTCAAAGTTGGAAGAATTTTCTGGGACGGAGGGAGTATTAAATTGCACTCAATATATATAAATGATTTGAGGGTTTAAAAAAATATAGCTTGTCACTGATAAAGCACTGTCACTACCACAATTGTCACTGCAAAAAGTGTCACTAATAGTAATAAAACTTTGTCACTGTAATTGATCTAATGGGAATAACATGTCACTAGTAGTATTAATTATATGTCACTACAAAACATGTGACTATAAGTATTAACATTATGTCACTAACCACGTGTGTCACTGCAATATGTGGCAGTGTAAGTACTAATACCATGTCACTGAACAATTGTGTCACTGCATCATGTGTCACTATTAGTATTTTGACATTGTCAGTGATACAAAATTGAATAGTTTTCTTTTATGTTTTAAAGTAAAAAATATAAAGTATATATGTTGTTCTTAACATGTTCATTTTTGTATAATTCCAATATGAGGGTGAAGTTGAATGTATTTGAATGAGTTGTATTATACTTATATATGGTGTATTGTTATTGTCGAAAGGGGTACATAGCATTATAATAAT